CAATCATAAGCCAAAAATCTTTGGAGCAATGCAATTTATATTTTTTTGTAAAAATAATAATAATAATAATAATAAAAATAACTATTCTATTATTTCTTTATTCTATTCTTCTTCAACTTTTAATTTAATTAATTATTTCGAATCTTGTTTAATTATAAGTTTATTTCCTACACTTACTAAATATCAAAGCGCATATAAAAAGTAGTAAAGGTTTTAAAATCATTTATCTTATAATTTTACAAAAAAGATAATTATCAAGCAGTATAAATTAAGCTTATCAACAGCAAATCCTTTTAATGAGATTTTATGTAAGCAATAAAAGGAAGCCCAATAAATCTAAAATTGAACTTTATAAAATATATCCAACTTAATTGTTCTACATTAAGAATCAATAAATACAGGATCATTTACCTGTTTCTTAAATAACAATAATGTTTAGCAGCCATTCTTTTAAGGGACCTTAAATTTTGAATTTAATATGAAAGTTAAATTTTAATCATAAGATAAAAACACATAAAAAGGATATTAACTAAAGTCTGATTCAATATAAATAAGAGAAGAAGATAATCAAATTGTTTATTTATTTTAAAGATAAGGAAATAAAGAAAGAAAACTTTATTCGATAGGGTTACATTTATTCAGCTTAATCAAATCTTTAGTTCTAATAACAAATTGAATGAACACGCATTTTTTAGATAAAATTCTCATAATTAACAAACCAGGCCTTTTGTATTAATACCATATTATAATTCTTCAAATTGAAAAAAAATGGTTGAACATTTATAGAAAAAATGGCTCCATCTTAACTGCCTGAATTATTATTAAAAAGAGAACGATGAACAATCAATTTTCCTTAAATTTTGTTAGAAGATGAAGCCGTAATGCATCTAAATAAATTTATAATATTTCCAATACATAAAAAATCATAAATCCTTATTAAATTAAAGTCAATTTAGTGTAATAATTTATACTATTCTAAGAAAATTAGCATTCGTTATTTTTGAAATATTTTAGTCTCAGTATTTGAACATTTAATTTCCAAAATTGACCCATATTCAGTAGAATAACATTAATTTATTCAAAATTATTAAATAAAGTCTTAGACCAATTGATTCTTATAATTTGTGATACAAATAATTTATATTTTTTAAATATAACTTATTTTTAAACAAGTTTTTATATTTTACATTATTTATAGTCAATATAAAAATATGGATAAATATTCTAAAAATTTATAGTTCATACTATTAAAATTATTGATATCTTGAGTATTTAGATTTTGAATTATCTTAAGTAAATTGAATTATGCAGCTTATTCAATATGAAGCAATTTCAAATTGTTAAACATCGTAACTTTATCAAAAAAAAATTAATATTAATTAAATCTGACTTCACTCAATAAATTAGTCTCAAAACAGAGGGTTAATTAGGCAATATTATTGACATTCTGAAAATTAATTCTAGCGATGTTAATTAAATAAGTAGCAGATTGACAGTTTTAGTAGAAATAAATTTTATATATCATTAAAAAAAAATAAGATAGAGAGTTTATTTTTTTCATAATTCTATATAAATTAAGAATTACTAACCGAAGAATTATTGATTATGATCAATTGAATAATAATAACAGATTAGTGAGTAAATTAACTCTACTTTTAGAAAATGAAAGAAGAAGAAAGACATATTAATAGTAATCTTAAAATAAAATACATACGATATCTAGAAAGATACAAACATTCATGGAAATAATGTGGGTGTGGTGAAAGATGGACATTTAATCATGATAAAATGCACGATCCAATTTAAAAAGATGATTTTGAAAACTTTGAAAATTAAATTAATAGCTACCTACTATCTGGTTCTTAAATTTATTAATTGCAATTTTACAATGACATTAAGCTTCCTTCTCTTAAATAGTGTAACAATTTTCTTTTATTTTTAATATTGAATATCAATTACATATATTTAAGTTAAATATTGCGAAATTTATAAAAGTATCTTATGTATTTTTATAAAATAATAACTCGGATGATTATTATTGATGCAAATAATGCTATTTAGAATAAATTCTAAATATGCATTTCTTTGAATTTTAAAATATAGACTAATTGTAAAACGAATAATTTAATTTATACTTAATTTCAGTATATTATTGATTTATTTAATTTTCTCGCTTATATAAGAGTAATTTTTCAGTTAACTCTTAAAAATTGGAATAAGTTTGAACAAGATTCTGCTTGAAATTTATATAATGATGTATATTGGGTGGATTTTTATTTTATTTGAGGTTTTATTAATGAAATTGAAAAAAATAAACACATGCTTGAAAGTTGTTAATTAACAATTTAAGTATTTTAAATTTATAATTTAAAATTTAACAATAACTAATAGACAAATTTACAATTTTAAAATATCTTGTTATCTTAATAATATATAATCAAATGAAGAGTATAGAAAACACAAATATTAACTTTTGACCATTTAAAAAAATATTAATGAAAAATATTGATATTTGATATTTAAATTATATTAACTCGTTCGTCTTTTCATTTTTATGTACATTCTAGTTAGTTTTCCAAAATTTAGCTACCTTTGGTTTTCAATAAAGATATCAAATCAATGCCTTTATGATTGATGAATTCTCCTTTGAGAACTAGGGCACCTTTTGCTTAAAATATTGCGGAATAGGATATAAGTAGTTTAGTGATGTAATTGGAGACTAAAAATATGAAAAAGATAAATACTACCTCCTGAATTACGACTATTTTATTCGAGTGAAATTTTAAATTATTTTAAAACATCTTTGTAATTTTAATCGTATGAATCATAATTTTATCCTGTCTTTAATTCCCATAGACGAATAGTGTTATCTGCACTGCCAGACGCTAATGTATTTCCATCAGGAGAGAAACATACTGACATAACATGATGAGTATGACCATTTATTTGGGCTATTTATTATCCTGCTTTGACATCCCAGAGACTGATAGTGTTATCATAACTACCGGAAACTAATGTATCTCCATTAGGGGAGAAACAGACTGATTTTACATAATAACTATGACCATCTAATTTGGTTGTTTATTATCCGGTTTTGACATCCCATAGACGAATAGACTTATCCCAACTACCAGAAGCTAATGTATTCCCATCTGGAGAGAAACAAACTGATTAGATAAAACTAGTATGACCATTTAATGTGGCTTTTGATTATCCTGTTTTCACATTCCAAAGATGGATAGACTTATCATTACTACCAGAAGCTAATGTATTTCCATCAGGTGAGAAACAAACTGAGTTGACATTATCACTATGACCATCTAAATTAGCTTTTTACAACCCTGTTTTGGCATCCCATAGACGGATGGAGTTATCATCACTAGCAGAAACTAAAGTATTTCCATCAGGTGAGAAACAAATTGAGTTAACATTATCACTATGCCCGTCTAAGTTTGCTTTTTATAACCCTGTTTTGGCATCCCATAGACGGATAGACTTATCATTACTACCAGAAGCTAATGTATTTCCATCAGGTGAGAAACAAACTGAGTTGACATTATCACTATGACCATCTAAATTAGCTTTTTACAACCCTGTTTTGGCATCCCATAGACGGATGGAGTTATCATCACTAGCAGAAACTAATGTATTTCCATCAGGTGAGAAACATACTGAGTTGACATTATCACTATGCCCATCTAAATTGGTTGTTTATTATCCGGTGTTGACATCCCATAGACGAATAGACTTATCCCAACTACCAGAAGCTAATGTATTCCCATCTGGAGAGAAACAGACTGATTAGATAATATTAGTATGACCATCTAATTTAGCTAGTAATTATACTGTTTTGACATCCCATAGAAGAATAGACTTATCATCACTACCAGATGCTAATGTATTTCCATCTGGTGAGAAACAGACTGATTAGATAATACTAGTATGACCATCTAATTTGGTTATTAATTATACTTTTTTGACATCCCATAAATGGATAAACTTATCAGTGCTACCAGAAGCTAATGTATTTCCATCAGGAGAAAAACAAACGGATTAAATAAAACTAGTATGACCATCTAATTTGGCTTTTTATTATCCTGTTTTAACATCCCATAGACGGATAGACTTATCGTTACTACCTGAAGCTAATGTATTTCCATTAGGAGAGAAACAGACTGAGTAGACAGTTCCATTATGACCATCTAATTTTGCTTTTTATTATCCTGTTTTAACATCCCATAGACAGATAGACTTATCATTACTACCTGAAGCTAATGTATTTCCATCAGGTGAGAAACAAACGGATTAGATAAAATTAGTATGACCATCTAATTTGGCTTGTTATTATCCTGTTTTAACATCCCATAATCGGATAGACTTATCATAACTACCTGAAGCTATTGTATTTCCATCAGGAGAGAAACAGACTGAATTCACACAACTACTATGACCATCTAATTTGGCTTTTTATTATCCTGTTTT